CTGCCTCACGGACTAAAACTGGTCGTTGGTTCCACAGGAGAGGAGCCTGATAATATTAAGTCTCAGCCATCTTACCACTTTACCCAATGATAGTTTATATGTGAGGAAAGGGGCTTGCTTCTAAAAGCTGAGACAGTGTTACCAGTCTTATCAAAAATAAATGATTGCCTTCAGGTTTTATCCACCTGTACTTTTAACAGTTTTTAAAAAATATATTAATAAATGTATGTAGTTTGAATTAAACAGCATCATCAAAACATTACATCATCACATCATACACATTTGTAGATGAGGGATGAGGAGACATCAATGGCTCCAGCCTTATCAAAACATTACAGAGTGTGTTAAGAAAGTGTGTTCACCCATTCAACTCTCAAACCTCTGTTATATTCATTAGATAAACTACTTCAGAAAACATTAGTTCTGACAGGCCAACAGGCAGGTAATATTAGAGATTAACAGACTGACACATCATTAATAATAATATTCCTAACATGATAATCTAGATTAATATACTGTAGCTGTAACAAGGAATTAACAAAAGGCGTGAAAGTGGCTTCTTGGGTTTGGCGGCGTCTTGGCTGTTGCGTGGCGGTGTTTACCTTACTGTAGCCAGCATGGGCCCTAAGAAGAATCCAGCCGTGGAGGATTTAAAGGAGATAAGGAAAGCGTTGGACTTCCTTTCAGGAAAAACCTCGGCCATTCGACTCAAGCAAAAAGTCCATTCTGGACGTGGTTGAAGAGGTGAAGGCTTGGCGACTGCTGAATGAGAAAAGGACCAGAGGATTGCAGCTTTGGAAGACCGAATGGCTGACTTGGAACAGTAGACCAGAATGAATGATGTTATCATCACCGGACTGCGTGTCTAGCCCCGCTCTTAAGCCAGCGTGGTGGCAGGGCCCTGTCCGGCTGGTGGCCTCGTTCTTCTTGTTGAAGGGGATAAAGTTGGACTGTGACCCAGTGAAGTGTGCCACCTGCTCCAGAGAAGAGGGAACATTGACAGACCGATGATTATCATGATATTCAGTAACAGGAAACAAAAAACTGCTCTGCTGAAACAGGGCAGGTTGCTAAAGGGGTCAGAAGTGTTCATTAACGAGCACCTGACCAAGAAGAACGCCGACATGACGAGGAAGTTCCGGTTCCTGAGGAAGCAGAAGATCCAGTCAACGTGGACCATGAACTATAAGGTCTTCATCAAGCCTGGTTCTGCTGCAGGTTTCTTCCTGTTAAAGGGAGGTTTTCCTCTCCACTGTCGCTACAAGCATGCTAAGTGTGAGGGATTGCTGAAGAGTCAATGATTTGATGCAATCAACTGGTTTTCCTTAGATAGAAAACTTTAAATCAATCTGACTGGATGATCTGGTTGAACTGTAAAGTGACCTGAGATTATATGATGTGAATTGGTGCTATAGAAATAAACTGAATTGAAAATAATTTATTCTTAATAAAGGGTTAGAGCTATATTTAATAAATACTCTGCAAGTTATGCCAGTGAAGCATTTTCTGTGTCTGTAAACTGGCAACATTCACCATTAACAGAACTCTACCATGAATATTTGATCTCTTACTTCAATATATTCTAATGTTTCATGGATTTTATGGTATGAAACCTTAGAGTAAGTTAAAATGACACTATGAAAAATAATGACTGTCAGCAGTAAAATCATAGGCAGCCGAACTGACCTGTGCGACCACCAAACCCTGAAGCGAACTCCATCCCTCTTCACCATATATGCTGAGTCGAGGTCAGGTAACTGGGCACAGCTGCTTCCACTCTGGAACATAATACTGGAAAAGGACCTTCTTTCCCTGCCAGTGAGCCACTTAGCAGTCTGTGGGCTGAATTAGTCGTGGTGTAAGGTTTTTGTTTAGGGTTGCTTGTAGAGGTTGTACTGTTGTTGCTGGAAGCCAGCTAAGCTGGTGGCTTTTATGGTTGTTAATCCTTTTGGATGGAGATTCTTTACATTTCTGTTATTTGTTTAGATCTTTAAGTGTGTCTTTCTTTGGACTTAGATTTCTGTTTGCACAATAATAATTTCATTGCCTTTCAGGGTTTCAGTTTGTTTATGATAATACTTACTTTATTCATGGATTCATAATTTTTTCTGACTCTAAAAGTGGCGGCTGCTGCCCTCCAAAACTCTCTTTAATTCGGACTAAGATTATATAATTATTGAAAAAATGTACCTTTATTCATTCTTTTGCCTCTTTTGCACATTGCTATTATTACTTTTTTTTTTAGGTCTGTAAAGGTCTTCTTTGTGTACCTGGAGTGTGTAACGCAGATAATTTCCCCCTGGGATCATTAAAGTATTTCTGATTCTGATTCTGAAACCTCTTTCCTCATAAAGGAAAACTTCCCTTCTGTCTGGCCGCTGTCAGTCAAATCTTTTAGCGTGCTCTGCCAATCAGCATTGAGTATTCACCTTGATGAACCGCCCCTGCTCCACAGACCCCATAAGAGGTTTAAACCGTGGTGATTCTCCAGATGTGTGACAGTTTTTAGGATTGGGCCAAGTTTCAGCCTCATGGTGGATCCTGTCTGTGTAGTATACAGGGGGTAATGAGGGGCGATCAGCCTCTAGCGACCTCTTCCCAATCAGCAATCATAAGGTCAGGATTAAATCAAACATGATGGAAATTCAGTCGGTCCTCCTTAGGTGTTGGTGGGTAAATCCAGCATTGCAAAAAATCTAAATGAGTTATTTTTTTCTAAAATAAATGCATTTTTTCTTGAATTGAGGTGCTAATTGAGACGAGACAATTTTCATTTAAAATAAGAAAAAAAATATTATATTGTCTTATTTCAATCAGAATCAGAATCAAGTTTATTGCCAAGTAGGTTTGCACTTACAAGGAATTTGACTTGGTGTTGTTGGTGTAGACAAAAAAAACAAAACAAAAACAAAATAACAAAATAAGATACAATATATATAAATATATATATATATACACAGAAGCTATATACAAACAGTAGACTGTGCGTTAATGTAACGCAGAAATCCTGAATGAGGGAGAGAAACATTGTCCAGTGTCACGGGCGGGTCTTGGCCTTGTTGATAAGGCCGGTAGCGTATTATCTAATTATCTTATTTTAAGAGTAAATATACTCATTCCATTGGTAAATAATATTAATTACTTGCTCAAATTAAGGCTAAATACACTTAATTTAGAACATTATTACTTATTTCTGGGTCGTTTTTGCAGTGTGGTGTTGAAGCACAGCTACGAGCGGATTTACCAGAACCTTGCGCACGGCACATGTGAAAACAATGGAAAACTTCTTCCTCTTCTTCAAGACTAACAAGTCTTGCCAGCGCCATCTCTCGGCGCTCAGTTAGACATGTGGAATCTGGATGTACAGTGTGAGCAGGTAGATTGCATCAGAGCATAAGAACATTTGTGAACTTTTAAACGTTTCATCTTGCAGTCTGAGCTATAGCTGAGTACAAAGATGACAATATCGCACAGTGCATGCTTGGCTTTAGCCTCAGTGAAAATGACAGATCTTTGAGTGTTATCCCTTCAGGGCTCTACTTTCTCACTGGTTGCTTCAATACACAGTGGCTCAAACCTCAGCAGGGATTTCTCATAGAGACTGACAGCAATCTTCCAG